CCCCCTCCATCACCCAGACTGGAGTGCAGTGGCAGTATCTCAGCTCACTGCAACCTACACCTCCTGAGTTCAAGTGTTTCTCGTGCCTCGGCCTCCTGAGTAGCTGGGCTTACAGGCGTGTGCCACCATGCTTGGCTAATATGTGTGTGTGTGTGTGTGTGTGTGTGTGTGTGTGTGTGTGTGTGTGTTTAGTAGAGACAGGTCTCACCATGTTGACCAAACTGGTCTTGAACTCCTTACCTCAAGTGATCCACCTACCTCAGCCTCCCAAAGTGTTAGGATTACAGGCGTGAGCCACCATGCCCAGCCAATTGCACTGTCTTTGACCAAGCTTATAATTAGTATTGGGTAAATGAAGGGCACAGTATGACTGCATTGTAATGAGTGGTGGTTTTGTTTTTTTACATAAGGAAATTTAATTATGAGAGGATATGTACAGTTTTTGTTATTGGTATGTTGTTTATTTTAGCTTATTTTTTAATTTTATTGGAATTCTGGCACAATATAGCCCTTGTTTGCTTTTAAAGAGATAGGCTGTTAGAGTGCCTGGATTTTCCCCTTTATCCACTACCTGTGAGCAAATTACTTCCCTCAGCTTTAGTTTTATTATGTAGAAAATGGGATTATTTTAGTACCTCATACGTATAATAATAGCAACAAAAACTTTGCTTAGTTAGTACTTAATACTTTTCTCTTGCCAAGATTAAATAAATTGATGTAGCTTCCATGCTTAACACTATGCCCTTCATTGGCTTTGGCTTTACATGCACTTTGGTTCTGTTTCTAGTTCTACTACTATGAGTTTACAGGGTAATTTCTCTGAGCCTTCTTTACTTAATCAGCAAAGAAAAAAAGGGAATCATGATGCCTGGGCCATAAATTTGCCCATAAAGTGAATTGTAGTTATTCTTTAAAACAATGCCACATGGTAATGCATACGAAATATTTGCTATTCTTACAGCAGTTAGCCTTCCCCCCATTGTGAGTTTGTAGTAAGGCCTGTTAGAAATATTTATGCTGTTATTAAACTTGGCACCTACCTTTTGTTTTGTGCTGACATACTGGATTAAGTTGTGAAATGAAGTTTTTATCCCAGCTTTTCCAATATATTTCTCATAAATACTGGAAAACAATGCAGAAAGAATTATGTATAATGTTTGAATAACAATGAAATGGAAAATCAAAGAAATCTCTTGTAGGGTTTCATTGAGTATTACTGATAATGTTCATGGGTAGAAGTGTGTGCTAGTTTTACTGTGTGTGTAAAACATTTGGTATTCTGGGTAGCTTATTCTGTGTAGGCCTTGTCTCTGTATAGGATATGCTTTACAATGAGGAAGTGTCATTTTCATCTGTTTTTAAATGAAGATCTTATATTTGAAGGGCTTTTGGGTCCTTTTGGTAGGTGAAGTGGGGTATGTTGTTGCAGTAAGAAAACTTAGTAAAGCAAATTTATTATGCTCAAATTGTGTAATAAGATTACTTTCATTTTTAATGATCACTTTAACAAAAATATTTGCAAACTCAAAAGTATACTGTCTCTGATTTTGCTTTGCTTTAAGAAGTCATTCCTCATTGCTGGGCTGGGCGTGGTGGCTCACACCTGTAATCCCAGCCTTTGGGAGGCCAAGGCTAGCGGATCACTTGAGGCCAGGAGTTCCAGACCAGCCTGGCCAATATGGCAGACCCCATCTCTACCAAACATACAAAAATTAGCCCAGCATGGTGGTGCATGCCTGTAATCTCAGCTACTCAGGAGGCTGAGGCACAAGAATCTCTTGAACCCAGAGGTGGAGGTTGCAGTGAACCAAGATCACGCCACTGCACTCCAGCCTGAGCAACAGAGTGAGACCCTGTCTCAAAAAAAAAGTCATTCCTGGATTTCCTAGATCTTTAGTGATAGTATTATCAATATACTTTATTTTACCATTAATGTTTCCTTATTTATACTTTCCAGATAGTGCCAAAATATTTGAACATGTTTTCTCTTTAACCTTTTCTTCATCCTGGTGTTTTTTGTTTTTGTTTTTACCCCTTGTCTTATGCCAGTGAGTTCCTTCGGGGTTACTCCTGCAGTAGGTGGACTATCATCTGGGACAGTTGGGGAAGCCTCGACAGCCCTGAGTTCAGCAGCCCAGGTAGCTTTGCAGTCTCTCTCTCATGCAATGGCTTCAGCCGAGCAACAGCTACAGGTGCTGCAAGAGAAACAGCAGCAGCTTTTGAAGCTTCAGCAACAGGTTGGAGACTATTTGGCTCTTTGTTCATGCTGTCTCTAAACTTCAAAAGCTGAAAAAGTACTTTAAAAATGACCATTATTTTCATAAAGAAATGTAGGTTGACTGATCTGAGCTAATCATTTTCAACAAAAATTGAGGTAAAGTCTTTGTGATATTTAAGTTGGTTGACATTGTATGAATACATCTTATTTGATACATATTTGAGGGAATATGATTGATATTTTTTGTGCAGTGTTGAAGTAAATCCGTTCTCTAAACATTCGATCAAAGAATATGTACAGTTACTAGTTGCTATTTACATGGAGTGTAGTTCCTAAAACAAAATTTTATAGAACAGTTAAATTAATGTGACTTAAAATTCACAAATAATGACAGATGCTTTATAAATTTTATTGTGGCTTAAGTTAGTGGTCTCCAATCCCTGGGCCACAGACCAGTACCAATAAATGGCCTTTGAGGAACTGGGCCGCACAGCAAGATGTGAGCGGTGGGCAAGCGAGCACTACCTGAGTTCCATCTCCTTTTAGATCAGCAAGGGCATTTGATTCTCATAGGAGCATGAACCTTATTGTGAACTGTGCGTGTGAGGGATCTAGGTTGCATGCTCCTTATGAGAGTCTAATGCCTGATGATCTGAGGTGGAAGAGTTTCATCCCAAAACCAGTCGCCTGTGCCTCCGCCACATCTCCCTGCATCTGTGGAAAAATTGTCTTCCATGAAACTGGTCCCTGGTGTCAAAAAAGTTGAGGACCGCTGGTTTAAGTGAAATCTGTGGCAATTTCAGGTGACAAATTGTATTACATTAGTCAACCTGAGAATTCACCTTCTTAAAATATTTTGTTTTGAGCAGATATTCCTTATTTATATTTAATTGTTGTGTTTCCTTTTCACCACTACCTTGAAAGAGTCCTAGTTCCCAAATAACACAGGAAGTTTTGTGTTAAATATTTAAAGTGTACATAGCAAAGCAATGATCCATTTATATTGAGTCCAGTTTTGATTTAATTTCATCTTTAAGTATGATCAATTTAATCATGTTTATCTTCATAATATATGCCCATGTGGTATTCTGCTACAATTTAGGTAGGCAGGATTAGTCTATATATGTTGCTTTTACTTCTTTTGCAGAAAGCAAAGCTGGAAGCCAAGTTACATCAGACAACAGCTGCAGCAGCTGCAGCAGCATCAGCAGTAGGTCCTGTTCACAACTCTGTGCCTTCCAACCCAGTGGCTGCCCCTGGATTCTTCATTCATCCATCTGATGTTATTCCACCCACTCCAAAAACAACACCTCTTTTTATGACTCCACCACTCACTCCACCCAATGAAGCAGTTTCCGTTGTGATTAATGCCGAACTTGCACAGCTTTTCCCAGGCTCAGTCATTGATCCCCCAGCAGTCAATCTTGCTGCACATAACAAAAATTCCAACAAGTCCAGAATGGTAAATTATGTTTTAAATAGGTGTTGACTTAGACATTTAAAAATATCTTGAAATATACTCTAACTTTAGAAGGCAAAATTTTTAATACCAACTTGATGTATCAAATTATTTTCTTTTATAAAATACTACAGTACATACATTAAGAGAAGAAACTTATTAATTTGATATTATGGTTAGTAGTTTTTATAGAACTATAGTAATATCAGTATAAAGTTAGACTTTTTTTTTTCCCCCCGCTCTAGAATCCACTTGGTTCTGGTCTAGCCCTTGCAATTTCTCATGCTTCACATTTTCTTCAACCTCCGCCTCACCAGTCCATTATTATAGAGCGAATGCATTCAGGTAATCTTCACTTTCTTAAAATATTTCTTTTCTTTTTTTTGTTTTTGCTTAGTCTGCCAGCCTTTTTAAGATTCATTATTCTTCAGTTTGATTTTTGTTTTGTTTTGTTTTGCAAATCGCATTTCCTCTTCGGTAAGTACATTTTATCAAGATAAGCACTTACATGTTCAAGCTTTGTGCCCACCAAATTGCATAAAGAGTGCTGTTGGGTAGTGAATTTGATCTGTTTATGAATCTTGACTGCTGATGTATTATTGACATAAATAATTCATTGTAGTTGGCCATTATACTAGAAATTACACTCAAAATATTCCTAAAACTAGCCTTCTTATAGTAGAACTCTTTCTTGAGAAGAGCAAACAGAACTACTGCTTACTATAATAACTGAATAAGAATAATAACATATCGTAGGCTCTGAATAGTTTGAATGTTACCTAAGTTTGTTTTCTGCTTATATGCTAAAGAACTGAGATTGGGATAGATGCTTTCAATTGCAACATATTTGTGAATAAAATGTAGGCAGTTTTTCTCTTAAAAAAGTTGATTTTAACTACCACAAACATTTTTGTGGTTTAGTAGCAGTAGAGTTCAAGAAAATCCTCAAGGAAGTAATAAGGTTATAGTATACACTGTAGCATGTATCATTATGAAGAATTAAATAATATTCGTGTTATTGCAATGTGGTTGTTTCCTCTTTTTAAGAAGGAGTTTGAAAGCTAAAATAAAGGTCTTATGGTATTTTCTGCCCAACTAATCATTCATTGGTAACAACATTAGTGTTGATGACATTCAGAGGGGAAATTTGTTATTCTGCAGTCTTATGGGAGATGAGCGGTTGTTTACACTGTAGTTTGGTTTTTTATACATAGCAATGACTGCAGTACATAAGCCTCCTGAGGAGGATAACTATATTCTTTCTTTGTTTTTAATAATTTTTCTTTTTAGGGAAGTATTAGTAACTGCCTTGTTTTCTTTTAAACTAGCTCCGTCGAGAATAGCACTATTCCTAGAAGTTTAATTTAGTTGTTTTCCTTCACTATAAAATGTAGCTGGTAAGGTTACTAGCTGACCCACCCCAACACAATAAAGAAGAAACGGAATTATGACATTATTAATGATCTGCCTTCTGTTCTACTAATTGAACTTACTCTTGTAATGTGGGTGAAATGAGAGATGCAAATCTGCTTTTTTTCCACCTGTTTCATCTGACATTGAGCTGAAGAGACTGAAATACGTCTATACTGGGAAAAAGCATTGTTTGAGATCCGTTAGAGGACCTTCCCAAGGCCTTTTTCAGTGGTAGTTTGATTATATATGATTGTAGTCCAGCTTTCACTTTGCATCTAAACCCCAATGAATACAGTATGCAACTTCACAGGAAGTTAAGCAGGGCTTAAGGAAACTAAATCAAGTAATACTGTTTGGTATTTAAATGCATCTAGTTGTGAAATTGAGAAAAAAGTTGCCAATGGCTGAAAGAAGAGTAGATTCATCCTTTACAAAATTAAGTAATATACTGCATTTGCTGATTTAATTTTTAAAAACTCTAATGTTTTAAAGAAGCTTGTTTGTTGATTGCCTTAACTGTAACAGTAACAGTCTTACTCTTGTTTTTTTTGCTTTGTTTTGTTGTTTGCTTTTGTTTTTTAAAGAGGGGTGGCCGGGTGCGGTGGCTCACGCCTGTAATCCCGGCACTTTGGGAGGCCGAGGTGGGTGGATCACGAGGTCAGGAGATCGAGACCATCCTGGCTAATTCGGTGAAACCCTGTCTCTACTAAAAATACAAAAAATCAGCTGGACGTGGTGACAGGCACCTGTAGTCCCAGCTACTTGGGAGGCTGAGGCAGGAGAAAGGTGTGAACCCAGGAGGCAGAGCTTGCAATGAGCCAAGATCGCACCACTGCACTCCAGCCTGGGCGACAGCGAGACTCTGTCTCAAAAAAAAAAAAAAAAAGAGAGACCAGGGTTTCACTGTATTGCCCAGTATGGAGTACAGTGGCTCTTCACAGGCGCAGTAGCAGTCTAATGTATTGCAGCCTGGAACTCCTCGGCTCAAGCAATTCTCCTGTCTCAGGTCCCCAGTAGCTGGGACTAGAGGCACTGGCCACTGTGCCCAGCTACTCTTAATTTTCTACTTAAGTCTTGGGGTTCAAAACTAACACAGACATGTATTTCAGAAAATTTTTGAATCAATTGATAAGGCCATTTTTACACATTTACTTTTCCTGTTTGTAGTTTGGTGAGTTGATTTCATATTTTAAGATGAGTGCTCCAAACTATTTTTGAGTGTATCATTTGGTTAATTGATATATTTTTGGTCAACTGTTTCTTCTTTCTCTCATAGGAGCAAGGAGATTTGTGACCTTGGATTTTGGGAGGCCTATATTGTTGACTGATGTATTGATTCCCACTTGTGGAGACTTGGCTTCTTTGTCAATTGACATTTGGACATTAGGAGAAGAGGTGGATGGAAGGCGGTTGGTAGTGGCAACTGATATAAGCACCCATTCACTAATTCTTCATGACTTAATACCACCTCCCGTGTGCAGATTCATGAAGGTAAAGAACTTTAAGAAAGTAAATTGATACGCTTTCTATGTTTCTGACAAGTTATGAAAAATAAACAATTTAAAAATATAACTTTTAAAATACATTGCTCAGATTTTTATTGTGGCAGATGTGCATATATGTATATTTATAATTTTTCATTTCAGATCACTGTCATTGGACGTTACGGGAGTACAAATGCCAGAGCCAAAATCCCATTAGGATTTTACTATGGTCACACCTACATCTTACCTTGGGAAAGTGAACTGAAGTTAATGCATGATCCTCTAAAGGGAGAGGGAGAATCTGCAAACCAGCCAGAAATTGACCAGCATTTAGCAATGATGGTTGCTCTACAGGAGGATATACAGTGCAGGTTAGTATAGAGTACAAATTTTAATCTTATTGAAACTTTGTATTTTATATAATGTCTTGCTTATAATTCTGTCAAGAAATATCTTTTCATAGGTGTACAGATAAGAGCAAAAGGAAGTAGGAGATTAGCACGTTATAGTAACACCTAATACATGAAAATATTGTGATTAATTAATGGACTGCATGTATTAGTACCTATCAAGTGGGTAATTCTTTTTAATGGTTGTATGTTAACAGGTTTAAGAGATTTAATTCTTAGTATTTGTACTTGTACATAAAGAGGACATTACAAGAATTATTCTGTTCAATCATTTTTTACTTTTAGATATAACTTGGCTTGTCATCGTCTGGAATCTCTTTTGCAAAGTATTGATCTTCCTCCTCTAAACAGTGCTAACAATGCACAGTACTTTTTACGAAAACCAGATAAGGCAGTTGAGGAAGACAGTAGGGTTTTTTCTGCTTATCAAGATTGTATTCAGCTACAGCTTCAACTAAATTTGGCTCATAATGCAGTGCAGAGACTCAAAGTGGCGCTAGGTGCAAGCCGGAAGATGTTGAGTGAAACATCAAATCCAGAAGATTTAATTCAGACGTCTTCCACAGAGCAGTTACGTACTATCATCAGATATTTATTGGACACGTTGCTCAGTCTGCTTCATGCTTCTAATGGTTTGTATTTGGCTTACATATTTTAAAGGCTGGAAATATACTTGATATGATTTCGCTGCATGTTTTAGGATTTGTGTCAATATTTTATATTGTAAATTTTGGTATTTTTAAAAATGTCAATATTTATGAAATGTCTCTTTAGGTTAATACATTTCTCCCTGTTATTTTAAATATTTCTTAAATGAATTTTTGTGTGTTTCTTTTGGGTTTCTGCTATTGACATGCACATCATTGTGCTACTGGCATGGTATTAAGTATTGCATGGAAGTTCAACAGTGAAACTTTTCATAAATTGCTAATATAAAGGTATCATTTTTTAGCCAGGAGGTATTTTTGATCATTACACAAGCTCACACATTCACTGACACAGTCATCTGATACATCCAGCTCCATAGGCAAGAAATGTAATTTACTTAAGTGCTAAATATTTCCCTCTCCAAGTATCTAACAGATTTCTACATATAAGGAGTAAATACTTTGCAAAATAAATAGAATATAATTATCTACTGATTACTAGAAAAGAGGAAAGTGTGTTTAGGCATGCTTTAATATTATACAATACATTTAAATAGGAAAGTTTACTGTTTTCTTTCTTGTAATAGGACACTCTGTTCCTGCAGTTTTGCAGAGCACATTTCATGCCCAGGCCTGTGAAGAGCTCTTTAAACACTTGTGCATCAGTGGAACCCCAAAGATACGGTTACATACTGGTCTTCTGCTTGTTCAACTATGTGGTGGTGAAAGATGGTGGGGTCAATTTCTTTCTAATGTCCTTCAGGAATTGTACAATTCAGAGCAGCTTCTCATCTTTCCACAGGATAGGTAGGTCGGAAAATGTTGGAGGTATTTGTTATTAATGATTTGTGCTTTTCACAGTTACTGGTCAGCTTTTGAAATCTTTGAAATGTGGATACTAAGTTGTGAATATGAAGCAGGTCTCAGAGTTTGTGAAATGACCAGTGAAGGGCACCAGCACTGTGTATCGAAGAAGATAATAAGTAATAATTAGACTCTACTCTTTAGTTTTCTAATTGAACTTGTGGACTTCCTAGATCTCTGTTTATAAGTATTTCTATTAGATTATGTTACTTTATATGCTAAATGTGTTTGTGGCTAATAAAGTTCTCTCATTCACTAAGTGCTTGATTTCTTGTTAATAACATTAGAAAATATAACCAGTAGTTAGAAAAATAACTAATTTTAACTTCATACCTCCAGATACAAATCTTGCTTTCCCAGTCTGATATATAGTATGTTTTAAGAAAGCAAACATTCTGTCATTACTCTGTTAAATTTCTGTGTAAGCTATTTTAAAAATTGAACACTCAAATTGATTCTTACTATTTTCTTTTTTTTGTTTTGTTTTGTTTTTAGGGTCTTCATGTTACTTTCCTGCATTGGTCAAAGATCACTTAGTAATAGTGGAGTATTAGAAAGCTTACTTAATCTCTTGGATAATTTATTGTCACCTCTTCAGCCACAGTTACCCATGCATAGGAGGACAGAAGGTATTAATAGAAAGCAGTGTTCTTTAGTAAAAACAGTATTCCTGTAAATATTGCTTTTATAAAATACCTTCTCTGAAATACTTTAATATTAATTGCAGCACATTTAATATTTTTATGATGTAAGCTTTTAAGAATGAGCAACCTTCATGTGATTGACTGCTATGTAGTTATTACTTTTAAAATTTATTACCTTTTCATTATTTGTACTTAGTATAGTATGTTTTTCCTATACTGTTATAACTAAAATCAAACTCCCTTATATAAGTTTAAGCTGTAAGGCACAGTTTTGTTCCAATCAACAATAATGAGTTTTGTTTGAGCAAACTTTTTTGTAAGAATAAAAACATTAGAACATAGTTTAGTGCTATATGAATTATAAGCTGAGAGTTAGATGTTTTATTTCAGTTCCTGTGAGTCTAAGAATAGTCTCTTATACCTTGCTTTCTAGTTTATATATTACACTTTGGATTCATCCTACACTTAATCTGTTTTTATACCTTGAAGTCTTTGTCTTTCATTAGATTTGATGTTCTACTCAGTTTCTGGCTGTTGGTGTCTATTTTTTAGACTTATTACATATAAATATTAGTGTTAGTAATGATATGATATGTTTTGGATTTATAAATTTTTTTGTTTCACTTATAGTATCAGACCTAATTAGGAATCCTAAAGTCATCTGGATGTTTTTCCTTTACTCTCATCTCTCTACAGGAGTACTAGATATTCCCATGATCAGTTGGGTTGTTATGCTAGTGTCCAGGCTGCTGGATTATGTGGCAACTGTTGAAGATGAAGCAGCAGCTGCAAAGAAACCTTTGAATGGTAAAGACAGGGAGAGGTTTCTGACAGGTATCAGAAGTTTATAATAATACGTTGGTGGGGATTTTGAGTGACTTCGCAGTTGTTCCAGAACTGGCTATTGGCCTGGAGCTACCAGCTGTATGTAATTTATAGAAAATACAAATGAACTTTACTACAATTCTGTTTAAAGATAACATTTATACTTGGTGGACTTTATAGACAAGCTCCTTTGTCTGGACATGACTTTTAGTTTCTAAATACAGTTATGACTTTCACAAGGTGTCTTCCCTTAGGCTCGTTTAAAGACTTTATAATAGCATGCATATAAATGAGTTATGAAAGGGAAATCAGAGAGTTCTTATTTTTTCTTAGTATGATGTGTCATTTCATTTAGCATTATTGGTATCTGCTAATTAGCTACAAATGACCTTTATTTTTAAATACAGAAATTCTCAGATTTTGAGTTGTAAGCTTTCTTTATAGGTTCGAAGCATAGAAAAATTTAAAAATTAAATCAACCTGCAAAATTATTTTATTCCCCTCTTCCCAATTAACAAGGCTTTTTGTTTTTATTTATTTTTATTTTTCCTCAGAGATTCTTGTTCTGAAAATAAGGGTTTTTAGATAAAGGATTTGAGATAGCTAAATCCAGTACGTAAACCATTGAGATATATAAGCCTACATACAGTTTACATCTAGTATGTAAGCCATTGAGATCCATAAAATTTGGAATTCTGTACATTGTCAGGAACTCAGTATTTTTAAAAGTTCCCTTGAGATATTGTAGTGGAATCAGTTGTTTATAGTGCATATTGTGTTTAGGAAGATGATAGGGAATTCATATGTATAAGGAATTTGTTTTATAGTGATTTTTAAAGAATAATGTATATCTATAGTTTACTCAGTTGTAGGATATAGAGGTAAGAAATACAATTAACATAAATAAAACTACATTCATATTGAGAAAGTCTTGTCTCGTTCTGTCGCCCAGGTTAAGTGTAGTGGCATGATCTCAGCTCATGGCAACCCCCACCTCCTGGGTTCAAAGGATTCTCCCGTCTTAGCCTCCCAAGTAGCTGGGATTATAGGCGTGTACCACCATGCCTGGCTAATTGTTTTGTATCTTTAGTAGAGACGAGATTTCACCATGTTGGCCAGGCTGATCTTGAACTCCTGACCTCAAGTGACCCACGTGCCTCAGCCTCTCAAATGGCTGGGATTACAGATGTGAGCTACTGCTCCTGGCTGAGAAACAGTCTTGAAAAAAAGAAAAATATAAAGTAAACTGTAATGTAATCTTGGAATGTAGCAGATAGTATTGGGAGTATGTTTGTTTATACATGTAGATACTATGGAAACATTGATGGAAGAGTTTTAGGGTTTTAAGAACTTGAACTAAGACTTGATAAATAGGTAGTAAAGAGAAAAAACATGTTTTTAGGATTAAGAAAAGATGTTTTAGGATTGGAGATGGGTAAAGTGTGATATTGGGCCTGAATTAAATGAAACAGAATAGTCTGGACATACTCCAAAAAAGGGGAGTAAGTATAGGTAGACAGTTATGCGTTCTGAACTATCTAAGCTTATTTTGGCAGTTATTAATTAAATTATTGAGTATCCTTTTTTGGTCCCTGATTAAAAGTATCTGTGTTTGAAATAGGCAATAGTAGTATTTGTTGTTAAAGTTGAATGACATCATCAAAGTTGTATAGAGGTTAATCTTAATTGTGGAGGAAAATCGCTATTATCTAAAGGAAAGATTGGAGACAGAGGGAACTCTGATTTTTAAAATGATTTAGGGTCTATGTTAGATAATTGACAGTTATCCAATCTTTATACAGTCAGATCTTCTAGCAATTTCTTTACCATGTTTTTCTTATTAAAACTGCTTTTCATGATTGGCACATGTATAATTGTGTTTTTTGTTTTTTGGGTAGGAAAGGTACTTTAAAGTCACATTTAACAGAGTGATTAATACAAGTTTTCCTTCGCCTGTAGGTAATCAGTGGAGTTTTATTAACAATAATCTACACACTCAGAGCTTAAATAGATCTTCTAAAGGCAGCAGTAGCCTTGATAGATTATATTCCAGAAAAATCAGAAAGCAGCTTGTTCATCATAAACAGGTAATTGTCAATACATTTAAAAAATTTTAATGTTTGAGAGTATTGTTTTGGAGGTTGCATGAGATAGATGTGCCATCAGATACGAGGTATGACATTTAATGGGCTCTTAGCTTAGGAAAATTATCTAACACTTTGGAAACTTCAGTTTCTTTAATGTTAAAACGATGACAATGTATAGTTTACAGACTTCGTTGATGTTCCTTTAACTATTTACTGTTATACATCTTTATTACTACCATTCTAAATGAGGTGGTCATTATCTTTTGCCTAGTCAAAAACCTCTCTTCCTTTGTTTTGCTTTAATTCAATCCATTTTCCTTCATTTAATTCTCAGTGGCTTTTAGTTGACCTTTGGATAAAGGGTATTCATCTTCTGCCCCTCTATCTAGCTTCCGGTTTTAATTTTGGTTTCTTTTTCCATTTCCTTTTTTTCCCTTTTTCATATATATATATATGTGTGTGTATATATATGTGTGTGTGTGTGTGTGTGTGTGTGTATTTATTTATTTGTGAGACAGGGTCTCATTCTGTTACCTAGTTTGGAGTACAGTGGAACAATCAGTTCACTGCAGTCTCCAAATTCCTGGGCTCAAGCAGTCCTCTTGCCTCAGCTTACCGAGTAGCTGGGATTAGAGCCTGCAATGCCAGGCTAATTTGTAAATTGTTTCTTGTAGAGATAGGGTCTCGCTTTGTTGCCCAGGCTGCTCTCGGACTCCTGGCTCTGGTGATTCTTCTACTTTGGTCTCCCAAAGTGTTGGGATTATAGGTCTGAGCCACTGTGTCCGGCCACAAAATAGTTTTGTTATTACTTTAAGATGTATGAAGATTCTATGTGAAAATCATTAGCTCTGGCATGTTATGAAAGCTTTAGGCTTTTCAAATTTATTTTATTGTTTTATTTTTTATATTTAAAAAACATTTTAATTCGTGGGGCTTTTTTAAAAGGTAGACTTAGCAATAAGTTGTTTATTTTTCACTTCTAAGTTTTTCAGCTATGAGCTAGTTCAGTCCTTTGCAGGAAAAATGATGAGAAGCATCGTCCTCAATTGGCTTTTCTTTTTGAGACCTTTAACCAATTTTAGGTTGTAGTAATTTGTATCTTTTAATGTTTATGCTCAGTGCATTTAATTAGGATAGAAAACAAAACCTAGTGTGTCACTCAGTGAGTATTTGTCTGTAAAATATTATTACTTGATTCTTCATTATGAATGACAGTATTGGCACAGTTGGTAAAACTTAAAAGGTGCTCTGAGGGATAATTGGTGGTCAGGCGTCAGTATTCTCTGATTTTGATGGTTGTAACTGTGATTTGTAGAAGGTTTTTATTTCTAGGAATTATACACGAAAGTAATCAGGGTGATTGGTCATCAGGTTACTAACTTACTGCCAAATGGCTTAGTGAAAACCAGTTGTATTTGTACAATAATTAAAACTGGTTGTTTCAGAAGAAATTAAAAACCATTTTTTTTCTTGATTATATTTCTTGTGTACGTTAATTATAGAACTTTGGAAACTACTTTCTGAAAATACTGATTTGTAGAAATTCTCAGTTAATATTTTTAAAATTATGTGTACATACTAGTTTTAATTTAGGATAGAATTTTTTTCATCTGTGGAGATAACAGCCAAGTGGATTTTTAAAAATAATATTAGTAATGTTTTTTTCCTGATACCAAAACAGGTGTCAGGCAGGGCTCACTTGGGGAGGCTGAGGCAGGTTGATCAGTTGGGGCCAGGAGATCAAGACTGGCCTGGCCAATGTGGTGGCGTGTGCCTGTAGTCCCAGTTATTCAGGAGGATGAGACAGGAGAATCACTTAAACCTGGGAGGCAGAGGTTGCAGTGAGCTGAGATCACACCACTAGTCCAGCCTGGGCGACACAGGGAGACTCTGTCTCAAAAAAAAAAAAAGAAACAAAAACAAAAACAAAAACGTGTCAATAGTAGTAGTTTAGGAAAGTGTTCTCTGAGAAGGAAGACTTAATAAGTTACTGACTAAATTATTATTCATTTATAGTTTTGGCTATGTCTTTCTAGTACATTAATGTAACTTTCTGTGTACACTGTGTACATTGCTATGTATGGAGAACACATTCAACAGATTGTAAGGTCTTTATGAACAGAGAGTTGTTTCTCTTCTTTGGTCTGTTTGTTCATTGTTGTCGACTGCTGATTGCCATTGTTTAGGAATGGGGGAGATAGGGCAGGAGGGAAATGTGGATATAGTTATAAAAGGATATGAGGGAACCTTGTGGTGGAATTGTTTGGTATTGACTATTGTGGATACATGAACTAACACATGTAGAAGTGTATCCAACTAAATACATACACAGACACACACAAATGAGTGCAACTGAAAGTGGAGAAATAAGATTGGCGAATTCTATCAATGTCCATACCTTGTAATATTATCCTATAGTTTTTGCAAAGTGTCATCGTTAGAGAAAATTGGGTAAAGTGTACAAGAGATTTCTGTATTATTTCTTATTTGTATATAGGTTAATTATTTCTTAAGCTACATTGTAGCAAGTAACTACAATGATCTCAATCCCAATTTTAATAAAAAATATAGACATACCAAAATGTGTACTACTCTTGAGATTTCTATAAAAACAGAACTAAGAAACATTAAGCAATAAAATATTTTTCCCATATATTTAATTGAAAATAAACTTTTCCCCCTCTATTAAAAAATATGTATCACTCAATTATGTTAGTGGTTTATATAAAAGTCTTCCAGTTATTTCTTACTCCCATGGGGGAAGGGAGATGTTAATGAAAATGGGGAGAGATCTCAAAGTTGGGATTTGAAATGATTTTTTAAAAAATTAACAAAACAGTTAAAATTATACTACATCTTTCAAGATAATACGGGTTCCATTAGTTTGATGTGTGAATTCTGTGAGTATAGTAATTTTTTCCTAACATTGTTAAAGATTAAGTTGTTTGTTTGTTTTATAAAGCAACTTAACCTACTAAAAGCAAAGCAGAAGGCATTGGTAGAACAGATGGAAAAAGAAAAAATACAAAGTAACAAAGGATCGTCATATAAACTCCTGGTAGAACAAGCAAAACTAAAGCAGGCCACTTCAAAGGTATGATCTATACTTCTCAATATAATTATCTCAGAAAAGTCAAGGAGTTATGATCTTTAATTATGATCAAGAAACTTGAATATATATTATTCTGCTTAACAGAGTAGCCAATCTACTCTGGACTTTTTTTTGGTGGGGTAGTTTAACTGAAGGAAATGTATGATAAATGTGGGCTTTAAGTATTATTCTAACGTATTACCTTCAATGTGGATTGAGTTCCAGTAAATTGAAGATAAAGGACAGTGGAATGTATAGTTTTGCTAATGTGGCATTGATAGAGTGGTTTATTTCCATTTTACAATACAAAATTATACAAGATGATTGCAAATATCATTGTATCAGCCTCACAACTAAAATTTATATGTAAAATGAAAAAATGCGGCATTCTCTTTCCCCTTAGTATTGTTATTGGAATATCTTGGTGTCTGAGTTTAGAATTGAAACTTGTGTTCAGTGGTGCTCACAAGGCTCAAATGTAGTATGTCTTTTGTAAGTGAAAGTGAAGTTCAACTGATTTGGAAGTTTTAAAACCTTGATGTTTACTTTTTAAAATTTTGAGGGATACTGTATATGTATCAAACAAGTTTGTAGTCTTTCTATAATGTGAAATTATAATTATTCCACCAGATTTTGAAGTAACTCAAATTAATATTTTGTACTTGATGTTATGTTAGTTTTCTTTACCTTCAACCTTTTACAAATTATGTTTAGGATGTTACGGTAATGTTTATGTTGTTAGATTCGACTTAATAACTTAATGTATTATCTGCAGTGAACGTCTGTAGAATTTCACTTTTTTGAAATTCTGTTATATATCTGATACTTTACTCCAAGTAGGAAGTAAGGCATATTGGTCAGTTTAGCTTTTAATATTCTTACTTTTGAAACTTACAGTGTATCTAAAAATTTTGCTCTTTAGAAGTTGTAATATGGCGTGAACATTTTCATTACTTAAATCTATCTCTACTGAAAAACTTTTCATTAAGTAAACATTGATTTAAATACTGTGAATTTTTGTGTGCAGCACTTTAAGGATTTAATTCGTTTACGTCGGACAGCAGAATGGTCCCGTTCTAATTTAGATACAGAAGTTACAACAACAAAAGAAAGTCCTGAGATAGAACCACTTCCATTTACTCTGGCCCATGAACGTTGTATCTCTGTAGTCCAGAAACTTGTTCTGTTTCTTCTCTCCATGGATTTTACATGTCATGCTGATCTCTTATTGTTTGTTTGTAAGGTAGGTAAACTATAAGTATAGACTTGTAGGGTTGGCCAGGCGCGGTGGCTCATGTCTGTAATCCCAGCACTTTGGGAGGCTGAGGTGGGTGGATTGTTTGAGTCTAGGAGTTTGAGACCAGTGTGGGCAATGTGGCAAAACCACGTCTCTCAAAAAAAAAAAAAAAAAAAAAAATGTAGACTTACAGGGATTTAAAAACTAGGAAAAAATGATGTTTTTAGTCAATTTTGATTAAGAGAAATGATGCTGCTTTTGGTTTTGCTTTTTTGCAGTTACTTTTTTTTATTGTGTCTTAAAAGATAGAAAAAATTCTTTTCAAATTGTTTCTTAAGGAAACCTGATTTATATTTTAATTTAGTTAAAACTTGAGGGTTTGAAATGCGGGTAATATGGATATGTTTATCTCCAACCTGCCTTTCTTATATTAATTAAAATAGGAAATACACAAATAAGTGTCAAATTATATTAAAGAAGGACTTCTGGCCGGGTGTGGTGCTTCACGCCTGAAATCTCAACACTTTGGGAGGCAGAGGGGTAGATCACAAGGTCAAGAGATCGAGACCATCATGGCCAACATGGTGAAACCCCGTCCTTACTAAAAATACAAAAATTAGCTGGGTATGGTGGCATGTACCTATAGTCCCAGTTACTTGGGAGACGGAGGCAGGAGAAGTGCTTGAACCTGGGGGCAGTGAGGTTAGCCAAAATTGCGCCACTTCACTCAAGCCTGGTGACAGAGCGAGACTGTCTCCAAACAAAAAAAAAAAAAAAAAAAAAGGACTTTTAATGTCATGATTGCTTTTCTGTGGCATATTCATTGTTCGTAGAAATTTTTAACTATACAATTAGATTTTAAACCAGATTTTAATATTTGATTGATGAAATTACATTCTTCTGCATTTCATCTCAAGCAATATTTTTTTTGCACCAGACTCATACATGATTATTGAAACCTGTTGTTCAGTGCTAAAGTATTGGTAGACTTCTGTTATTGTTTGAAAAAAACATGTAATTGCTATTTAAGTGTATGATTTTATAAAATGTGTTACAGGTTCTTGCACGCATTGCAAACGCCACGAGGCCAACTATTCATCTGTGTGAGATTGTGAACGAACCCCAGCTGGAAAGACTGCTATTACTTTTGGTTGGAACTGACTTCAATAGAGGAGATATATCTTGGGGTGGTGCTTGGGCTCAGTATTCCTTAACTTGTATGCTACAGGATATTTTAGCAGGTGTGTTAGGATTTTTTTTTCATAGAGTATGTCAGAATTACCTTGTCATTGCTCAAGTAAGAATCTTCAAAGGGATCTTTAACCCCCTAAAAGCATAAAGGTCTGTTTAATCGGTTTAATGTTATAGCAGTAGTAACCATTGAGAATTACTTTTGTATTTAAGTATATTGATAGTTGTGATAAATGCAAGGCTTTAGAAAGGCGTTAGGTTGTTAAAGTGCATGAATATTGGAGCTAGACTGCTTTATTATTATTAGTGGTGTGCCGCTTACTGGGTGAGGAAGTCACTTTGCCTCAGTTTCTTTATATATAACATAAGGATAATAAGGATAATCTTTGTATAAGGTTTTTGTGAATAAGTGAGTTAATGTATGTAAAGTACTTAAAATAACTCTTTGTACATGTTACGTGTTTACTAGATACTTGTCTCTAGCATTTGAAGGTAATGGAGGGAGTCGTAGCATTCCTTAGGTGGGTAGGAACTCATTTGCCTCAGATTCTTTTGTAGTTAGTAGAGCATTTATTCTGTCAGTGACTAAACTGGAGGAAAAAAATGTGCCTTAATATGTTTCCGAGATCTGTATAAATTATTAAAACAGGACTATCCCCTTACATACAGGAGAATTACTGGCTCCAGTAGCCGCAGAAGCCATGGAGGAAGGAACAGTGGGTGATGATGTAGGTGCGACAGCTGGTGACTCTGATGACTCCCTTCAACAGTCCTCAGTTCAGTTGCTGGAAACTATAGATGAACCTTTGACACATGACATAACAGGTAAATTTTACATTATGTTTCTTCTTTATTCTATTGAATGGAAATACATTTCAAAATAAAGAATGTTAGAGAAAAATAAAGTTGATTTTTATATTTTTCTATTAGTTGTTTGGCCTTATAAACTAGATCCATTATTTTCCTCGTAAATACATTTTGTCTTGGTTCTCTGAATGAATGCTCATTACAACAAAATGCTGTCATTTCATAGTGTCCTAATTATGTTGATGTAGTGTGATTTGGCAATGATGAAGAAAACCCAATGTAGAAAACATGTAAAGATACAAAGTGATGTAGACAGCAGTTTAAAAGCTCTTATTCTTTAAGATCCAGCATGTGATTTTTTTTTTTGGTGTATTTTTTTTCTTTTTTTTTTTTTTTCTTTTTAAAAAGTATCTTTATAAATTAGCATGCATCATCCTTGATCATCTCCATACCCCTTACTTTTAAAAAATCTATTTTGGCTATTAACTGGTATATGTCAGATGCTGCAGTCATTTTCAACCATTTGTCATTCCTTAATCTTATATTTGCTCACGATTTTCTATTTTTTACTTGATATTCTCTTTATCTGGAATAGATTTCCTGTGTGCATGAAGAACACTTCATTACCCAAGGTTCACATAAAGGATGCCTTTCTCCAAGAGGCTTTTTCTGTCATTCCCAGCAGAGTTTGGGACTTTGCTGTCTGTACTTCCTTTGTACTCTCAAATATCTCTTCTAGACATATCATGTTGTATTCAGTTTTAATTATAGTGCACCCCCACCTCTGAATTTCTCTTAATTTATTGGATTGGAGAGTTTTATTTTATTAATCTTCATGTACTTATACTCAAACCCTCATACAGGCTGGCATTTACTAGGCATTCTATAAAGTTGTATTGATTAAGAGGATGGGAATGATGGAAAAGAAAGAGCTATAAGGGGGTACTTATAAGGGTTATAAGAAAGCTACTTAAAAAGTTGGAGACATCTGAGAGAGAGTAATTTCTAATTCATAACAGAAAAATAAGGTAAAAATGGCATTCTTTTTTTTTTTTTTTTTGAGACGGTGTCTTGCTCTTGTCACCTAGGCTGGAGCACAATGGCACGATCTCAGCTCACTGCAACCTCTTCCTCCTGGGTTCAAGTGATTCTCCTGCTTCGGCCCCTGGAATAGCTGGAGTTACAGGCGGCCACCACCACACCCAGCTAATTTTTGTATTTTTAGTAGAGACGGGGTTCCGCCATGTTGGCCAGGCTGGTCTCAAACTCCTGACCTCGTGATCTGCCCGCCTCTGCCTCCCAAAGTGCTGGGATTACAGTTGTGAGCCACCGTGCCTGGCCAGTAAATGGCATTCTTATAACTTCAGTCCTCTTTGCTTTTCTCTTTAATACTGGGTAACATTACCAGTAATAATGAATGTAATATAATGAATTACATGTTAGATGTAATAGAATGTATACTATTTAGTAATGTTGGTAATTATTTTTGATAGCAAAGTTTATGCAACTTATTTCAACAAGAGCTAATACTGTGGTCTTTAGGAAAGCAAATATCAGTGCATCTTTGTTTTTATTATGTATTATGGAGCGAAATGTTTGCATACATAGAGATTTTTTTTATTAGGCATATGTAACATGCAAGTAAAATAACTTTTTGTAACTAAAAGCATTATGTCATCTTAATTTTATGTGATGTACTCCACCAATAAGATCACTTTTAATTATTTGAAGGTGCACCGCCTCTGTCCTCTTTGGAAAAAGATAAAGAAATTGACCTTGAGTTACTTCAGGATCTAATGGAAGTTGATATTGATCCTTTAGATATTGATTTGGAAAAGGACCCTCTTGCAGCCAAGGTTTTTAAGGTATGATACATTAGAATATTCTTTGAAAAGAAGCTGGGC